CGAACGTCTCAAATACTTGACCTAGTGGGATCAGCCACTTGGCGACATGTAGCCAGTGCTGACAATCCTGCCGATCTAGGTACAAGAGGGTGCACACCCCTGCACCTTACCACTACCACCCTCTGGTGGAATGGTCCCCGATGGTTAACAGAATCTCCTGATTCTGTTCATAGAGCGACTTAAAATTAAAGTTATATCCCCAGAATATCCCCAATGCGATACATTGACGCACCTAGAATTGCAAAAGATCGCTCTAATCGCATCAACTCAAATGCGCTACTTCAGCCGCGATATAACACTATTAAGAGAATCAAAACCCATTGATAAAAGGAGTTCACTCTTAGTTCTTAACCCATTCCTAGACACGAAAGGTCTGCTTCGTGCGAATGGTCGGCTTGCCAATTCAAGCCTCACGTATAATGAACGCCACCCTCTAATCATATCAGAGAAATCTCGACTAGCCACTTTACTTCTCAATTATATCCACTTACTTATGCTCCCCGCAGAATATCGCCTAATGCGAACATATAGTCCGCCAAGAGTTCTACATTCCCCGACTAAAGCCCCAAATAAAAAAATGCACTTTCATGTGCAAGATCTGCACTCTGCATAAGCACAAGTTGCGAACGCAGATTATGGCAGCACTTCCACCGGAACGCTGTAACTTCGCTCTGCCTGTTCAATTAAAGGCGTCCATGCTAAGGTCGCCCACCATAATGAAAGGCTATGTGGCTGTTTTTGTCTGTTTTACGACAAAAGCAGTGCACCTCGAGCTATGTACGAATCTGACTAAGGAGGCTTTTCTCGCGGCATTTGCTCGCTTCGTCGGACGACGCGGCTTCCCCTCAAAACTAATAAGCGATAACGGCAAAACCTTCATTGGAGCCCAAAGAACCACTGAAAAACAGTTTGTAGATTTTATTAAACAAGTATCACCTGAAATTGTTCAGAAGTATGCTCCCCAAGGCATTAATTGGCAGTTTATCCCCCCAAGCGCTCCTCATATGGGTGGTTTATGGGAATCAGCTGTACAAAACTTCAAATCCGACTTCAAAATAGTAGCCGGAAATTATAAATTCAATTATGAAGAATTCACTACCTTATTAATCCGAATTGAAGCCGTGCTCAATTCACGGCCACTCACAACACTCTCGCAAGATCCCTCCGACTTCACAGCCCTAACTCCAGGGCATTTTCTCAAAGGAGCCAGGCGAGGGGTCGCTATCCCTATTAAATCGATGGGAAAGAATCAAAATTCTCCATCATGATTTCAGCCGCCGATGAAAGGAAGAGTACATCAATGGAAAACTCCAGAAAAGGCACCAAAGCTTGGAGACTGTGTCATCATACACGATGATTGTCTACCCCCTACAGAATGACAGCTTGGCCGCATAGAAAACTATATTACGGTTCCGACGGTCACATACGAGTAGTTGATCTCCGTACTCAAAGCGGAACGCTAACAAGACCGCTCGTGAAATTATGTTTTCTACCAACCGCATCTAATGACAAAAGCGCAAATAACAAACAATTTGCCGATATTACCGCGACGCAAATGAATTAGTCATATAACTAACCAATAAACCAATGGTTGGCAAAATTACCCCACTGAACCCTCCCCGAGGGTGCCGACGGGTAATAGATACCACAGATTCACGACATAAGCGGGGACGAGCTGGTAACAGTCCTCCCCTGCCGTAGACGTTAGGAATCTAGCTAAGGTCAGACTTCTTATCTGTGTGTTCGATGTTCCTCAATAGCACAATAGCGGCTCCCGTGCCGAGGATCAACCTGGCTGGGGGCCCTTACATAGCCCAGTCTCAAACGGAGCTTACGGATATCTGGCGCCCTCCGTAATATGATAGCCTTACTTGCGTAGCGGGGGCTTTGTGCAAGCGGACACACTTCTCCCAACAGAAACAAACATACAAGGGAGCCCGGATCTCCACCAAAAAATCCGGAGGGAGCTAGTTGCTCCCAAAAAAGAGCAGTGTTTGCAACGAGCTCGGCAACAATTAGCAAGAGGACAGGAGCGAAGCTTGGTCCCGTAGATAAGGCAGGCACAAGGAAGCGGGCAGAAGCTAAAGCTAGCCCCAAGAAAGTAGTAGCGCCGGAGGCAGCCAGGCCCAAACCCTGCAGTCAAAACACGACTGGGAAGCGGGAGGAAGGAGAGATGCCAAAGGGGCTGCTGCTAAAAGTGCCAGAGAGTGACCCGTATTTAATATTCAGGACCCGGCAAAGGCAAGGTATGCGGAGAGACGACGCGCCGCATACCTATTGAGGTTAGTGGAGTTGCAACCGCCAACCAAAGAGGAGCTAACCAAGGAGCTCCTAGCATTCATTGACTGCGCGAAGGCGGTCATACCTAAATTTGAGCTGGAACCTCCAGTAAAGGCAGCAAAGCGACAGAGGTCAGCTGAAGAGGCTAAGCCGTCAGCCAAACGGCCGAAAACAAAGGGCGTGACGCCCGCAAAATCATTTGCAGAAGTGGCCCGGAACCGAATTGTCATTGGCTTTCTGGATGAGGGGGACTCCGAACCCCGAAGGACGAATCCCCAGAGCCCAATGGAAATGGGTGCAGGCTGTGCTGACAAATGTGGCGCTGGAAGTGCTAATAAGCAATCCAGGTGAGTGTACTCTTGTATACTGAGACAGAGCTTTTAAGCGACTCTCTCAAATTAATCTTCATCACAGCAAACTAGCTTCAGCGGCCCTAATGAACCGCGTGGCAATAGAACAGCCTGAGTTTGTTTTCATTCAGGAGCCTTTGGTTAATAGAAGGCGTATTTGCGGACTGAGGACACCGAGCTATAAGTTATTTATGGCTAATAGTCGAGGTAAAATCAGAGCCTGCATAATGACAAAGAAAAACCTTAACGTTTTTATATTACATAATTACAGCAACAACGACACAGCAGCAGTAAGCTGGGAAACGGGCACAAGCAGTTACCGGCTGGTGTCGTGCTATATGCCATACGAGCAAGAGCTGGTGCCACCTCTGATGACCTAAAAGAGGTGGTACGGGATAGCGAGGCATCCAAGTGCATGATCATAGTTGAATGCGACTCAAACACGCATCACACAGTCTGGGGCAGCTCAGATGTCAACGACAGAGGTGAGTGTCTCTTCAATTACCTACTAGGCACTAAGCTACTGTTGTGTAATAAGGGAAGTACGCCAACATTTATTACAAGAAACCAGCAAGAAGTACTGGATATCACACTTGTGTCGGAAGAACTAATTGACAGGGTAACCTAATGGAGGGTTCTCGAAAAACATTCCTTTTCGGATTACCGATATATTGAATGTATATTAGAAGAAAGGGCCGATAGAGGCATGGACTTCAGGAATCATAGGAAAACGAACTGGCAGGTGCACATGCAAGAGCTGGAAAAACGTATCCCTATGACTTCAGTTTCAGAAATGGACCCCACTCGGTCGCTCTATACAAAGCTGCTATAGCCAAGGTGGGAGAGGTATACCCCGGGGCAAAATTGGTAGCAGTGGACAAAAAGGACATACCATCCAGACCCAGAGCAAGGGTATGGATCCCGGCTACACCATCACAGCCGGACCAGATTATGCAGCTCATAAAAGCCTGCAACCCGAGCCTACCCACGGAAGGGTGGAAGTATGTCAAGACATTTGAGAACAGCGTAGCAGAATCTGGCGTGGAGACCAAAAGGGCCACGATGCAGATTCTGCTGTTATTAACGAAAGAATCCATTGAACCGCTGGCGAAAAGTGGCGGGGAGATAAATTACGGGTTCACGAAAGTGAGGATAACGCCTTACAAGTCGGACGCCGATGCTGCAGACCATCTGGCATCAGGAAAGAGATATGCGAAGTAGAAGAAGATCCTATAGAGTCTTCGAGCGACGCGGAAAGTATGGAGCAAGGTGAGTGTTCTTCTTCTGGATCTGAGCTTGCTGCCAGACTCTTAAGCTTGTATACTGAGAAAGAGCTTTTAAGCGACTCTCAGGAAGACGCAAATATAACAATAGTTAATGTTTCTTCTACAAATTAATCTCCATCATAGCAAACTAGCTTCAGCAGCCCTAATTAACCGCGTGACAATGGAACAGCCTGAATTTGTCCTTATTCAGGAGCCATGGGTTAATGGAGGGCGTATTTGCGGACTGAGGACGCCGAACTATAAGCTACTGATGGCTAACTGTGAAGGTAAACTCAGAGCCTGCATAATGGCAAAGAAAAACCTTAATGCTTTTATATTTCATAATTACAGCAACAACGACACAGCAGCAGTAAGCTGGGAAACGGGCACAAGCAGTTACCGGCTGGTGTCGTGCTATATGCCAAACGAGCAAGAGCTGGTGCCACCTCTGATGACCTAAAAGAGGTGGTACCGGATAGCGAGGCATCCAAGTGCATGACGATACTTGGATGCGACTCAAATGCGCATCACACAATCTGGGGCAGCACGATGTCAATGACAGAGGTGAGTATCTCTTTAATTACCTACTAGGTACTAAGTTACTGCTGTGTAAGAAGGGAAGCACGCCAACATTTATTACAAGAAACCGACAAGAAGTGCTGGATATCACACTTGTGTCGGAAGAACTAATTGACAGGGTAACCCAATGGAGGGTTCTCGAAAAACATAACTTTTCGGATTACCGATATATTGAATGTACATTAGAGGAAAAGGCTGATAGAAGCATTAACTTTAGGAATCATAGGAAAACGAACTGGCAGGTGCACATGCAAGAGCTGGAAAAACGTATCCCTATGATTCTTCAGTTTCATAAATGGACCCCACTCTTATAAACATAGTGTCAGAAAGCAACGTACGCTGGGCAATAAACAGCTTTAAGCCCTTCAAGTCGCCGGGATCAGACGGTCTATTCCCGGGTCAATTGCAGCAGTCGCAGAATTACATAATGAATTGGTTAATTGCCATTCTTAAGGGGGCGCTGCAATTAAACTATATCCCTTCGCTTTGGAGGGATGTCAAGGTAATATACATACCAAAGGCAGGCAAAAACTCGCATACAAGTCCAAAGGACTTCAGGCCAATTAGCCTCTCCTCATTCCTTCTAAAAATTCTGGAAAGACTAATAGAATTACATATAAGAAACAAACTGAAACCAGAAAAGTTGGCTGGTTCGCAGCATGCGTATTCCAAAAGAAAATCCACAGAAACAGCACTTAGCTCTGTGGTGGCGGAGATTGAAAAATCTCTATAAATTAATACAGATCTGTCCAAAGAGGTACACCTCAGGGAGGCGTGTTATCTCCACTTCTCTGGGTCCTGACAATGAATAAATTGCTGTTGGATCTAGAAAAGAAGGGGGTACATGTTGTGGTCTACGCTGACGATGTGGCAGTATCGGTCAGAGGCAAATTCCCGAACACTCTCGCAAACCTTATGCAAACGATCTTGGACAATATAAATCGTTGGGCAGTATCGTGCGGATTAAACTTAAATGCTGGTAAGTCAGAGCTTGTATGGTTCACCAGAAAACATAATGCTCCAAAAGTTACGGCGCCATTAATAAATGGTTGCAGACTAACAATTGGAGATAAGGCAAGCTACTTGGGACTAATCTTAGACAGGAAGTCTAGGGTGAAGAAGGCAGCCATAGCACTCTACACCTGTAAAAGGATGGTGGGCCCCAAATGGGGGCTTAAGCCTCGGGTAACTTATTGGCTCTATACAGCAGTTGTCAGACCAATCATGACATACGGTATATTGGTATGGTGGCCAATAATGGAAAAGAAACACGCGGTAACGCGTATGGAAAGTATACAGAGAGCAGCCAGTATATGCATTAGTGGAGCTCTTAGAACAACGCCAAGCCAGGCTCTAAACGTCATTCTACATTTACTGCCAACAGACCTGTTCTGTAAGCAAGTGGCAGCAAAGTCAGCTCTTAGACTGAGGGAATCCTCCCAACTAGTCGCATGCAACAAGGGGCATTCAAGGATACTCAGTATATTCCCGTTCCTACCCACAACCACGGATTTCCGCAATCCAATAGAATGGAAACTAAATTCGGTCCACAATATTGCCTTCCCCACAAGAGAGGAGTGGAAAAAGAACGAGGTGGACAGTAATACAGGAATTAGCATCTACACGGATGGATCCAGACTGGATAATCGAGTAGGAGGTGATGTCTTTTGCGCAACATTGGACACCAACATCGCCTTCCGTTTACCAGACCACTGCAGTGTCTTCCAGGCGGAGATCCCAGCAATTAAAGAAAGCCCTGTGATATTGACAAAAAGTGTGCTCACAACAAGGAGCATATATATATATACGGATAGCCAAGCGGTCTTGAAATCACTCAAGTCTCCAATTGTATCATCCAAGCTAGTGAAAGATTGTCTTGACCTATTAGAGGATCTGACATCCTACTTCACAATAAACCTGCAATGGGTACCAGGACAAAGTGATATTCCTGTTAACTGCGAAGCAGATGAACTAGCCAGAACAGGCACCACTTTGCAACTAACCCCTGAAAAAGAGGGTATTTTTATGCCTCTGGCAACTTGCAAACACTTAATCAGCGAACATGCTATAAATATAGCTGAGTCTCGGTGGAGACAATCAATAACCTGCTCAACCAACAGACTAACTGATATAAAAACTCTGATAGGAGTACTAACAGGTCATTGTCTAATTGGTAGACATGCCAGTAGGCTAGGTGTACCATACAACGACTATTGCAGAAGCTGTCAAGAAGTAGAAGAAGAGGAGACTGTAAAGCATCTTCTATGCGAATGTAAAGCTCTATATAGGGGTAGAAAAGAATCGCAACTATCGGTCGTGGATTCCTTGACGACGTATCAGAAGTTGCTAAAATAGAGTGAGGGAACATTAGTCCCGGTGGTATCACAATGAGCCTCCTGTAGCCCTAGGTGCGTCGTTGGACAGCCACCTTACCTACCTACCTACCAATAAACCCGCAAATGACAAAACCATTGTAAACCAACCATTCTAACCGCAATACGCTTTGTTAACTGTGCAATAGGCAGCACCACACCAAGCTAAACCGCACCCAAAACGGTACGTCGGGCGACAACTCGCCCCAAGTCGCAGATCGCAGCCATCCGGATCGCCTCCGAAGACAGGCAGCTCCACCTCCCTCCAGACCAAGGCGACAGAAGGCACCAACGCGGCGTCGGCAGCCCAGGTCAACATACCGCCGCTCCACTGGCCTCAGCAGCGTTGTTGCCACGCTGCAGCAACTACAGCGGTTGCTAGGCTAGAATTCGCCTAGGGGGGCCAGGATGGCTAGATGAGTTACGCCTCCTCCCTCCATACACGCCACTGCGCGCCAACACACCACATCAACACAATCCACAACACGACATCACACCACTCAGACCACCCACAGATACACATCACATCACACCACAACCCAACACTCAAAAGGGACTAACAGAGGACCAGATGGCCTTTTTTTTCGTTAGCAATTCGAGCGATCGAGACGTCAAACTTTTCCGCCCGTATTCTTTTTATATAAGCCGTACCGACCGTGTCCGTTTGGTTTTTTTGTGACGAAAAAGTGCAAACAAGTGAAAAAAAGGTGAGTGTGCAACGAAACAATTATTTAAGGAGTTGTACGCAAAAATTCCTTAATACACCTGGTGTTCTGGCAACTACGAATTCTATGTCTAGTTGCTTCTGGCCATTTTTCGTCGGTTAGATTTTGTTCGGTCATATTGTATGTGTTCGTCACAATATTATAACGGATTTCTCGATAAATCGTCTGCCTTGTAACTCACTCTTGAGTTCGATCACTGGATTGTTAAATAAAAGCCCCAATTTAATAGCTATACACTTATCTTTATTTCTAATTTCAAAAACTTAACACTTATTGCTCGTTATTCGAGCTTACAACCTTTTTCTTATGTCTCAATTGCCCTTAACACGACAACACTCTAACTAGAACTGTCCTTTTCCGCACAATCTGGCAGCCCTTATATGGTACATCTTTAATAAAACTTCGCCTCTAGAACGTTCTGGCAACTACGAATTCGCTGTCTAGTTGCTTCTGGAAATTTATCGTCATTTCGATTTTGCTGCAAACACTTTTATGTCCCGCATTTCGTCTTCTATGCTGGTGTTAACTTCCGTAGCCGTCCTTCTCTTCTTGGAGTTAATTCCATCCGTTTTCCGGATATGCAGTTTCTGATACATCTATTGACTTAAAACTGACTCGAGATTCCATTATTGATCAGAATGTAACTCCATTGGAACACCGAATCTCGTAAACCACTTGTTGATTAATGCATCTATCACTGGTTCAGCCTCTTTATTAGGAATTGTATATAATTTTGGCCATTCGTTGAAACGGTCCTTAACTACCAAATCATGACTATTTCCTAATTTATTGGTGTGAAATGGACGATCTTCATCCACCCCTATTTGCGCAACTATAGCACCCGAATTGTACTGTTTCATCTGACCATGACTCCTGGACCTTGATCCTTTAATTACAATGCAGTCAGCATATTTCGCAATCCTCTTCATAGCTGATCGACGACAACCAGTCCAATAAAACCTTGGCTTCAATTTATCCAAGGGTTTCGTGATTCTCAAAGGCCCTCCTCTTGGACCTTTGTACTGTACGTTAAGAATTTCAGGAATTCTAACCTTTGGAACAACCATAAGTACTCGGGCAGTTTGCCTATTTTTGCTTTTCCATACTCGATGCAAGCAGCCACACACCAACTTTAAACTGCTCCGCTCTGCCCAATATGCTTTTTCGACTGAGCTGTCTAAATTTATCTCTCCACTCGTTGTACAATGGTTCAACTCCACCTCATGCATTACACTTTCCAATTCTGGACCTTCTTGCAAACAGTCATCCGTTTCATGTTTAATTGTATGCTGCTCTTCTACCTTTGAGTACACCTGTCCTGGTATAAGCTCTTCCAAATGTAAACACACTTGTGCTGGTATATACGCTTTCTGCTCTTCCAACTGTAAGGACACTTGTGCCCGTATACAAGCTTCTTGCTCTTCTCACTGTGAGGATCCTTTTACTGTTTCACACGCTTTACCCTCTTCCAGACACTCCTTCTTTTGTATCTTTATTGTCTCTTCATTTAACTCCATTTGAAATGTTGTTTGTTTTTTACTTCCATGACTCTTCGCAACTCCGACTGTAATTTGGACTTTGCTAACTTTGTTGCCAAGCCACGTTTTTGCAGCTCCTTTTTCAGTTGTGGAATCTTCAGATCGTTAAACTTGGCCATTTTCATTCTCTTTTTGGGAGTTTATTTGACAATCCCACTTCTGACACCAATTATAACGGATTTCTCGATAAATCGTTTACCTTGTAACTCACTCTTGAGCTCGATCACTGGATTGTTAAATAAAAGTCCCAATTTAATGGCTATGCACTTATCTTTATTTCTAATTCCAACAACTTAACACTTATTGCTCGTTATGCGAGCTTACCACTTCTTGCTTATGTCTCAATTGCTCTAAGGTAACACTCTAACTAGAACTGTGTGTGCTGCACAATACGGCAGCCCTTATATAGTAGATCTTTAACAAAACTTCGCCTATCGAACATTCTGGCAACTACGAATTCGCTATTTAGTTGCTTCTGGCAATTTTTCGTCGGCTCGATTTTCTTATATCATCCATGTTCGCCACAATATTTAGTCAGTAGTTGTTTAAAAACATTGTATACATCTACATGGAGCCAATTTTAAGATTTTCGCTAATACACGCGCAAAATTGTCACACTTGGTACGGGTTGCCAACTTGTTTTCTACTACTAAATTCACCTCGCTACGGGCAGAGAATGTTAATAAATAGAGAAGGCGCAAATGTTAAAAAGTACTATATTGAGATTTTCACAAGAGGTAACATCGAAAAATACAACTTCGACTCGTTTGAAATACAACACGCAGTGATCGAAACGGGGAAAAGGCAATAAATAGACACAAAGAATGTTGTTAAATGAATTATGCACATGCTGATTTACACTTGCATATTACCCAAAAATCATAATTTGTGTAATTTAAAATAATCTTTCAAATTATATAAGGGGATTAAGCCCCAGAATTTACAACAAAATAAGTAAATAATAGATAAGCTCTTTAACACATAGTTGTGAGTTGCATGAACAATATCTAATAGGCAAAGGATAACAATAAAACAATGGCTAAGCGGCCACGGTTTCACTTCTACGGTGGCTCAGGTCGTAAGCGTGAAGCAGGTAAGGTCAATCCGAATACGAGCATTTACGTTCGGATCCTGAAACTCATGAAACATAAATTTTATTTTTCTTTAATTTTATTATTTGACATTTAGAATTCAATTCAATTACTTTAATAGTATATTTTACCTGAGATAATTTAAATTATTTAGGAAAAATGTTCATGTATAGATTTATTGCATATCTCTTATTTATGCGTATTTATACAATGTGACAATCACACATACATTCTTTAAACATGTCACGCTGATGTGTGCTTCTTCTGCCCCGCACAATGGTTTTGTCTACACTTTTGCTTTTACGTGAAGCACGATCGCAGGCAAGGAGGCAGGCGCACCTCTCATAATTATTTCAGATATATTTTATTAATCGAATTTATTTTAAAACGTTTAAATAAGTTTGAATTTATGTATTTATATTTTTACATAAATATTATAATATTATTTAAATAAGCTAAGATATCAGAGATCTATACAAATTATTAATACAATAATATATATAAATCCTCCGTTTAAACACTCTGTCCATGATAATGCAATGGAAGAATGGTGAGTTGCGCGAAGACGGTGCGGAGCAATAATTAGTTCTGACAAATGTTGAAAAATGCAATGACAACTTTGCGACATACATACATACGAGCTCGCATACATATTGACGTCGAATTTTGACATCGTGGGAGTTGATAAAATTTGTTTGAATCGACATGCCACGCAGTCGGCTATGTTGTCGGGTTTGTCGTTTTGCAGTTTGCTATTGAAAATTGACTTATGCTGTTTTATAATACTACGACTACCGATTGGGCTACATTTTCATACCATTGAATTGAGATAAAATGGGCTAAACCGAAAATCAATGAAATTATAATATTAAGTTAACATGCATAAGCACCATATAAAGTGTGTTTAGAACTAATATAAGTAATAAGGAATTTCATATAAATGGCAATTTTAAATAATTAAATAATATTTCAAATCGCTTATAGGTCATGTTGCCAATTCTCCTTTCTGAAGGGAACATCAGATAAATTCTTCAATTTTTGATTTTTAGCAAATGTTGAGGAAGCAGCCGTGACACATGCAACTGAGGGGATGGTAGGATTTTCAGTGATACAAATTATAAATTGAAATTTGCTGATTCTTCAACTTCTGTTTCGCGCATTTGGTAGGAATTCCAGAAAATCAAATTTTTGACAGGCGCACAGAAAAAGAGCCAGTACTATAAACGATCGCAAATGGTGCGAATGCTGAATCTTATTGGTCGATGAGTGCGTCTGGAATTGTGAGAGTACATCTATGTACACATATATGCAAATATATTTACACATGCGAATGGAGGAAAGTATTCGGGAATATCTACATACAAATTGATTATTTGAAACAGAGAACGTATATCATAGAGAAGGTTCATGGCTGATTGTCAAATGTTCCTCTTGACGGAGGTTACTCACAACTTAAGAGGATCTCACCTCAAACAAATTATAGCGGATTTCACAGAATTTACCCTGCGAGAAAATAGTAGAATTGAGCATTTTGAATGTTAAATGAGAAAATAATGCTAAATCTAATGTTAAGAAATGCAGCTTACAGATCTGTATATTTACAATGCGCAAACGAGTTTGTATATATAAGATATTCTGCATATACAGGGCGGCTCACGAATCGTGCACAAAATTAACCGTAATAAGTTTTTATTACAATGCATTACACATTTTTATTGAGAAAATTTTTATTTAAACAATTAATTATTCCTCCATGCTCAACCACCATATGCTAATCGGGATTGCATCATCTATTCTACAACCTTTGTTGCCAGTTTTTCAATTTTTCTGTGTTTTGTGGGTTGCGTGGTTGCAACTTTTCCTTCAGAGGAATATCAGAAATTTGTTCAATTTATGATTTTTATTTTGCCATCGCTCGAAAAAAGCTTGTTAGCAAACGCATGCTCGGGGACGTGAGGGTATCTGTTTCATGAAAGCGAGGTTGCTTGTGATAATGCCTGCGTTCATGAAGAAAATGTTGTTGTTGTAATTTACTATAAATTTGGGTTCGCCTATTTGGCTGACATATGACTTGTGACGATTGTTTTTGAGACAATGTGTAGTTTTTGGGTGACATATTTACGTGTACGCACACACATATGTAGGTTGGTTTGTGTATGCATTAGTTCGGTAATGTAGATATATGCGTGTACATATAACAATGCGCGCACATATAGTGTATTGATAAGTGATAAAATCATGATTTGACTTTCTGAATGCGTACACAAATACATCATACATACTATATAAGATTAATATTATATGATAAAGATGTACATACATACATATATTGTAATAAATTTAATCTCTATTATTTAATATTAAATATTTATTAGGAATGTATATTAGGTAAAACTAAATAAAATTATTAAATGCCCAAATTGATATAAATATTATTTCGAAATTTCATAATTTAAGATCTATCAGTTTTGATGCATTCATAAAATTCGCAAAATGATATCTATATCAATAAATATGTTTGCATATAAGCGTATAAGAATATAAGCCAAAGGCTAACATGCACTGTAATAACAAAGCAAGCTCTGCATAATTTCATACAGCTCAGCTCTTTTACGCCACTGTTAAAATTTTCCTTCAGAAAAGTGGTGAAACTATATTAAAATCTTGTTAGGTTTTGACACACACGCTGGTCCGCAAGAACCTTCTCTAGATATACGTTCTCTGTTGAAACTAGTAAACGGCAATAGCTGTTTGAGTTCACCATAGACATCACTTTTAATTATTGTCTGTGGTTCTGTTTTAGACAGCGTTTGCAAATTCATCAAATATTTCGAGCTCACTTCAGCACAGATGTATTTTATTCCTTTTATTTATACACCTTTTGTAAATATATTTTAATTTAATTTTAAGTTTTCCTCATTATAAATGTTCTTCACGATCTATTATTTTTGTTATTGTAATTTTCCTAACACGAATGCCAAAGAACATCTGCGCATATATTAGCCTTTATAAGGTGGTGATTACTTGGTTCCTTGTTAAAGTGGTGTGGTTTGTTGAGTTCGATTATCATGAGGGGGTACCTTTTACGGGTGTAATTGAACTGAATTCGCACATTTCGATGTTCACTTTAGGGTTTACATATTTTCGATTATTAAAATTCTAAAATTAAATTTACATTTGATACGTATATCGTTGTGAGTAATTTAGAATAGTTGGTAAATATTATTTACAATTAGTGCATTGTTTGACTATTATTATGGTGTTCATGAATTGTACCGACTATTAATTTATATCTTTGTTTTGTGAAATAAATAGAAGAAGATTTTGTCATGAATTTGTTTAATGAATATAATTGGCTGGTACCTGGTTTATATATTCATTTGGTTTGCTTAGGGTGATTTTATTTAGATTATATTGTTAATGTAATTACTATCCATTTAGTGTACCTGATTGTATATATATATATACATTTTCCAGTTATTGTTATGAAAGTAAAATTAATAAATTGAAGAATGATTTAAATATTGAAATAAAGCTATTTTGCGTCATATAATAAACAAGAATTTCTAAATAGAATTAGTGAAGTGTTAGTGGAATAGAAGTGAAAATATAAGTGATATTTCATTTTAAATCGAAAATTACAATTTAAATAGTAGAAATTTTCAACTCCAAACGTAAATATCTGAAAACTATAAGTTTCGCGCATATATATATAGATATATATTCTTGATCTGGAAAATCTCTGTATTTACAATTTATCCGAAAGCCTGGACGGCTAAAGCCGACCCAAACAACAAAACCATAGGAAAAACTAAAATTTTAAATATCTTGAAGTAATTATAGATAGGAATTATAAATATATGATAACTTTGAATAATGTGTAGAAAGATTGAAATATTTTAGCATATTTTAAAGAATTCAACAAATTGGTATAATGACAGTATATATATATATAACGTTATTATCAAACCCTATCTATATTACTTTCACTATTACATATACATGCTACAACTAAACTCAGATGGAAGTCCAAAATTACAAAGAAGGAATGAGACTTATATTGTAGTAAATTATCAGATTAAAAGCTAAACTTTAAAATGACTTAACATCAGAGACCGACTTGAACTAAGTACTTATGTTGGTCCACAAAGCTAAAATCAAAATGCACAAAATATTTAACTGATAAGATGGATATGTAGGAGAATCAGAAAATATTAATTAAGAAACTACTGTGAATTAAGTATAAGCAAAATGTATTGATTTTATAAGTTAGAGGAATAATAATCTAAGTAATGTAAAGTATTTTTATAATAAATAAAAATAATAATATAAAATGTTCGAAAGTGAGAAAATAAAACAACGATGATGGATGGATGGACGATGGTATGTGCCTAAGAGCTACTCTCTGACCTTTCTGCTTCTTCTCTGCAAGGAGTCTGACACTCTACTCTAATCACTAAATCCACAGCGACTATATTCACAAACTGGAGAAGGAATACAGACTGACCCGAACATCTCAGTCGAAGGCACAAAATTCCGAGGTTAATAACCCTAAAATTTTAGACGTAACATTGGACGGTCTGTGCTTCTTCACCTCACACGACCGCGATAACTTCCAAAGTCAGAGTCGACCAAATTCTCAAATCGCTTGCCGGCAGCTCTTAGGAAAAGACAAAAACGTTGTTGGCAACATACAAGGCAATCGGCCGCCTGGTCCAAACTATGCATCACCAATGGTCGCCTGGATGTAGTGCAACGCAGACGAAGAAGCTTCAGACTTGTCAGAATATTGCATCCCGGACTATCCATGATGCCTCTTGATGTCCCCAAGAACACTCACAGTGAGTCCCTTAGCTTCCGGTTGAGGAACATAACGAGTCTCTCCAAGCAGTTTCTGCGTGTTTTCAGAAATTCGCAGAAATCATCCCGGCAGTCGTCTTGAAACGGAACCGCTCCTAGGAACATCAAGAGGTCATTCCTTGATTACGTCGACAACATCAGACAGTACGCCTACCGGACTTCGGACGCAACGAACTACAGACAAGCACTGACCGCTATTAACAGTGGAGCATTAACACCTTCATCGACTCCTCTCAGTGAATGGCGTACAGAGTCAAACCACCCATAGCAGATGTAGAGCTCGAGTTGCCTTGCGAAACCAGAGGGACCCTGCGTAACTTTTTTCTGGATATTGTAGGTTAAACTCCTACTATCCAGAATAGACCTGAAATTCAAACATCTGTCCGTGTAATTAGTACCACTTTGTATGCCCAACAAACCCAACTCATCTAACACCTTTCTATGGTCCGACCCGTCGAAACAGCCTTGTTGGGCCTCCCGTCTCGATGACCTCGACGACAACCAAACTATCACTTTTCCAAGCGGGGACTAGATAACGGTTACAAAACAACAGTCCATCGATTGTTTGCAGTCTATATAGGGGCTCTCGAGGAGCTAAAATCTGAATTGCTACTAGACTACATACTATTGTTTCGCATTGATGTCAAATACATTTATTCTTAGCAAAGTTATATGTAATCACACATTAATTTTAACAAATATGATAGAACAAAATCGAATCAACGATAAACGCCACACTACACTTATCTTTATTTCTAATTCAACAACTTAACACTTATTGCTCGTTATGCGAGCTATCACTTGCTTATGTCTCAATTGCTCTAAGGTAACACTCTAACTAGAACTGTGTGTTGACAATACGGCAGCCCTTATATAGTAGATCTTTAACAAAACTTCGCTATCGAACATTCTGGCAACATGAATTCGCTATTTAGTTGCTTTGGCAATTTTCGTCGGTCGATTTCTTATATCATCCATGTTCGCCACAAATTTAGTCAGTAGTTGTTTAAAACATTGTATACATCTACATGGAGCCAATTTTAAGATTTTCGCTAATACACGCGCAAATTGTCACACTTTGTACGGTTGCCAACTTGTTTTCTATACTAAATTCACCTCGGTACGGGCAGAGAATGTTAATAAATAGAGAAGGCGCAAATGTTAAAAAGACTATATTGAGATTTTCACAGAGGTAACATCGAAAATACAACTTGACTGTTTGAAAATAACACGCAGTGATCGAAACGGGAAAAAAATAAATAGAAAAAGAATGTTGTTAAATGAATTATGCATGCTGATTTACACTTGCATATTACCCAAAATCATAATGTGTAATAAAATAATCTTTCAAATATAAGGGATTAAGCCCCAGAATTTACAACAAAATAAGTAAATAATAGATAAGCTCTTAACACATATTTGTGAGTTGCATGAACAATATCTATAGGCAAAGGATAATAAAACAATGGCTAAGCGGCCACACTTCACTCTGGTCTCAGGTCGTAAGCGTGAAGCAGGTAAGGTCAACCGAATACGAGCATTTCTCGATCCTGAAACTCATGAAACATAAATTTATTTTCTTTAATTTTATTATTTGACATTTTAAATATTCAATTAATTACTTTAATAGTATATTTACTTCCTGAGATAATTTAAATTATTTAGGAAAATATTCATGTATAGATTATTGCATATTCCCTATATGCGTATTTATACAATGTGACAATCACACATACATTCTTAAACACTGTATATATGTGCTTCTTCTTGCCCCGCACAATGGTTTTGTCTACACTTTGCTTTTACGTGAAGCACGATCGCAGGCAAGGAGGGTCGAGCCGCCTCATAATTATTTCAGATATATTTTTATTAATCGAATTTATTTTAAAACTAAATAAGTTTGAATTTATGTATTTATATTTTCATAAAATTATAATATTTAAATAAGCCTAAGATATCAGAGATCTATACAAATTATTAATCAATAATATAATATAAATCCTCCGTTTAAACACCTCTGTTCATGATGGCACGCAAAAGTAATGGCGAGTTCGAAGACGGTGGAGCAATAAATTTAGTTCTGACAAAATGTTGAAAAATCCAAATGACAACTTTGCGACATACATATACGAGCTCGCATACATTTGACGTCGAATTTGCAATCGTGGCGGAGTTGATAAAATTTGTTTGAATCGACAATTTTGCCACAATGTCAGTCGGCTATGTTGTTTTGTCTTGTTTTGCAAGCTTCAATTTTGATTTTAGCAATGTTGTGAGGAAGCAGCTTGTGGTAGGATTCAGTGATACAAATTATAAAAATTTTGCTGATTCTTCAACTGTTGTTTTTCTGTGAATCTATAGAAAACAAATTTGCTTGACCAGGCGCACAGAAAAGACGCAGTATAGTATTATAAACGATCGCAAATATGGTGCGATTTGAATCTTATTGGTCGATGATGGTGTCTGCGAATTTTTGGAGAGTACATCTATATATATATATGCAAATATATTTACACATGCGAATGGAGGAAGGTACTTGGAATATTCACACAAAAATTGATTATTTGAAACCAGAGAACGTATATCATAGAGAAATTCACGGTGTGCGATTGTCAAAATGTTCCTCTGACGGAGGTTACCAACTTAAGAGGATCTCATCTCAAACAAATTATAGGATTTCATCGATTACCTGCGGAGCGAAAATAGTAGAATTGAGCATTTTGAATCGTTAAATGAAAAATAATGCTAAATTCAATGTTAAGAATGTTACAATCTGTAATTTACAATGCGCAAACGACTTTGCATATAATTTAAGATATTCGCATATAGGGCGGCTCACGAATCGTGCTACAAAATTAACGTAATAGTTCTTTAGTCAATGCATTACATACATTTTTAGATAGAAAATTTTATTTTATTTAAACAATTAATTATTCTCCATGCTCAACCACGCATATACACTGGATTGCATCATCTATTCATTTAATGGACTGCTCCGATTCAGCAGATTGCTGATTTGTACACCTCTTGCTTGACATAAATCACATGATCCTAAATCCACAGCGACTATATTCACAAACTGGACGAAGGAATACAGACTGACCGAACATCTCAGTCGAAGGCACAAAATCTGACGGTTAATAACCCTAAAATTTTAGACGTAACATTGACGGTTGCTTTCACCTCACACGACCGCGATAACTTCCAGCACAGAGTCGCACCAAATTTCAAATCGCTTGCCGGCAGCTCTTAGGGAAAAGACAAAACGTTGTTGGCAACATAAGGCATCGGCGCTGGTCCTAAACTATGCATCACCAATGGTCGCCTGGATGTAGTGCAACGCAGACGAAGAAGCTTCAGACTTGTCAGAATATTGCATCCCGACATCACATGATGCCTCTGATGTCCCCAATAGAACACCTGCACAGTGAGTCCCCATGTTCCGGTTGAGGAACATACACTCTCCAAGCAGTTTTGCGTGTGTTTTTAGAAATTTGTGTTTTCAGAAATCATCCCGGCAGTCGTCTGCTTGAAACGGAACCGCCTCCTAGAACATCAAGAGGTCATCTTTTACGTCGACAACATCAGACAGTACGCCTACCGGACTTCGACGCAACGAACTACAGACAAGCACTGACCGCCATTAACAGTGGACCATTAACACCTTCATCGACTCTCTCAGTGAATGGCGTACTAGGAGTCAAACCACCACCCATAGCAGATGTAGAGCCGAGTTGCCTTGCGAAACCAGAGAGGTCGCGTAACTTTTGTTCGATATTGAGCAGGTTAAACTCCTACATCCAGATAGACCCTGAAATTCCAAACATCTGTCCTGGGTGAATTAGTACCACCACCTTGCATGCCCAACAAACCCAACTCATCTAACACCCTTTCCCTATATGTCGACCGTCGAAACAGCCGGTTTTTTGGGCCTCCCTTCGATGACCTGACGACAACCAAACTATCACTTATGTTCCAAGGGACTAGATAACGGCATACAACAACATCCCATCGATTGTTTTGCAGTCTATATAGGGGCTCGAGGAGCTAAAATCTGAATTCAGCAACTAGAACTATTGCTATGTTTCGCAATTGATGTCTAAATACATTTATTCTTAGCAAAGTTATATGTAATCAACACATTAATTTTAACAAAATATGATAGAACAAAATCGAATCAAACGTAACACACCTAATTATCTTTATTTCTAATTCCAACAACTTAACACTTATTGCTCGTTATGCGAGCTTATCACTTCTGCTTATGTCTCAATTGCTCAAGGTAACACTCTAACTAGAACTGTGTGCTGCAATACGGCAGCCCTTATATAGTAGATCTTTAACAAAACTTCGCCTATCGAACATTCTGGCAACTACGAATTCGCTATTTAGTGTTTTGGCAATTTTCGTCGGTGATTTTCTTATATCATCCATGTTCGCCACATATTTAGCTCAGTTGTTTAAAACATTGTATACATCTACATGGAGCCAATTTAAGATTTTCAAACACGCGCAAAATTGTCACACTTTGTACGGGTTCAACTTGTTTTCATACTAAATTCACCTGTACGGCAGAGAATGTTAATAAATAGAGAAGGCGCAAATGTTAAAAGTACTATATTGAGATTTTCAAGAGGTAACATCGAAAATACAACTTGACTGTTTGAAATACAACACGCAGTGATCGAACGGGAAAAGGCAAAATAGACACAAGAATGTTGTTAAATGAATTATGCACATATGCTGATTTACACTTGCATATTACCCAAAATCATAATTTGTAATTTAAAATAATCTTCAACTTATATAGGATTAAGCCCAGAATTTACAACAAAATAAGTAAATAATAGATAAGCTTTTACACATATATGTGAGTTATGAACAATATCTA